GGGCGAGGGCGCGCGGGGCGGGGCGAGGGCGCGCGGGGCGGGGCGAGGGCGCGCGCCGCTGTTGGCTGCGGGCAGCTCGCCGGCACCTGCCGGCCCGGCCCGCCGCCTGCAGCGCCGGGTGTTCTCGCCGCGCAAGTTGCGGGTCCCGCAGGGCCTGGGCTGCGGGCCCGCTGGCCCCGGGGATGGCGTCGGAGCCGCGCTAACTCCGGTACTGAGGGCCTCCGGCGAGGGCCGGGCCGCGAGGAAGGGAGGGCGCCGGGGCGCGCGGGGCCGCTGCCACCTGCTGCAGCGTCGGCCGGAGCGTGGAGGCGGCCTGCGTGGAGGCGACCCGTGGAGTTCGGGTCCTGCCTGCGCGCCCCCTCGACGCGCGGCCGCCGCTTCCTCCCGCGCTGGGGGAGCGCGTGGGGCACGGGGAGCATCGCGGGGCCCGGGGGCGCTCGGCTCGCCCGCTCCTCGGTGAGACGCGCGCCCAGACCCGCTTCTTTCCCGGAACTTGACGAAAAGTTTTCCCTCTCAGACGCGCGGGGCTCCCGGGCCGGGAGAGGAGCCGGCTCGGCGCTCCCCGACCCATAAGAGCCCCCACGGCGTCGGGGCCACAGAACACCGGGATCCCGCCACTTCGGAGCCCCCCAGCCGCCGGGACCCCCTCCACCTCAGGGCCCCCGACCCCTGCGACCCCCGGCAGTTTGCAGTCCCCGACTCGCCGGAGCCCCTCTCCCCACACCTCGGAGCCTCCGACCGCCCGGAACCCCTCTGGGTCCACCTGGCAGCTCCCGACCCCCTTGCTTCTCAGATCCCTGTTCTGGGGCCGCAGACGCCCCCTTCTCTTGGGACCGCCTACTCCCCAGGCCGGGGACTCCCTTTTGCTTCAGGGGCCCCCGTACCTGGACTACAGCCCCCTCAGCCTCGGGGACTCGCGCCTCGGGATGCATCCCAGCGGGAGGCTGAGGGGCAGGAGCTGTATGGGTACAGAGAGCTGCCCCGAGGAAGGAGCGGGGGGGGGGGGCGGCGGCTCAGAGCTGGGGGGCTGCGGCCGCGGGGAAGGCTCCTCTTCACGAGGCCTCAGCGCCGGCCGGCGGACCCCAGACCCCGCGCCTGCGCAGCGGGCCACAGGCAGCCGCGTGCGTTTCAAAGTTGGACAGGCGCCATCTGCTCCAACTTGGATGTGGAAGTGGAAGCTTGGCTTTGGGAAGTTCTGTGGGCAGGAGGCTCCTGGGCACGGACTCACGCCCTTCGTTTACGGGGGAGGGCGGTGTCTTAGGGCCCGTGTCTGCAGGCTGTTGGCCCCTCGCCGTTGTCTTGGCTACCTTTGTAGAGGATGGGTGGCTGCTGGGCACTGTTAGGAGCTGTGCATGGACCAGACCAGACCTTACAGCAGTCCCTTCCTCTTGCCCGGTTTATCTGGCCAGTACCAACCTGTGTCTCAGGTTTGGATAGGGCTTCTTCCCTACTGCTTAGCCCCTGTCCCACCTGGGTTGCTCCGCCCTCCCACCCCCGAACCAAGGCTGTCGTACTACTGTCTTGGTGGTGGTATGTTTGACCCCTTGAGACTGTGGGCTTCACCTGATTAACAGCCTTTGTGAGAAGCTGGCATGTTCTTGGGGCTCAGGGTTATTGAGTGAATGCACCCTTTGGGCCGCATCGAGGGCGGTCAGGTAACCGGTTCAGCGTCACCCAGCTGGAGAGGGGCAGGGATGACATTCACACTGAGGCAGGTCACGGGGCCAGGCTCCGCTCATCTCAGTGTCCTTCACGGCCCCAGCAGGTCCTGGCAGGTCCCTGCTTAGCACTTTGCGTGGCGCCGAGGTGGGCTTGCTCCACGCTCGCGAGACGGAGTGTTTACAGCCTGCCCCCAGCCCACCCTCTCATGCTCCGAATCAGGGCTGCCTCACCTGGCCTCCGCGGGTCCCTGCAGTTCCCCTCTCTCTACTTCTCCACCCCTCCACCCCTCCGCCCCTCCGCCCTTCCACTTCTCCATCTCTCCCTCCCACTGCCCTACTTCCCTCTGTCCAGCGGGTGAGTTCCTGCCCGTCCTACCTCCACTTCCCCTTGCTTGTGCTCTGCTGAAGGCCTCTCAACAGAGAGGACACAGCTTATCAGAGCAACATGCTTAAGAATCTGTCTTCCCTGTTGGTCAGAGCTTCTGACTGTCACGTCCTCACCCTCAGCACAGAGGATGCCTGCCCAGCATGGCGTGGGTGCTCGCGGAGCTCTGAGACCTTGGAGAAGATTTGTCATCACACCAGACATTGTACCTAATATGTAAGAGAGGATTTTAGGAAAATGGGTACGTGTTGTCAATGTTTGCTGTAGGGAGGGTATAAAGTTTCTGGGGTCTGGGTTTAAAATTCTAGATTGTCAAGTTGCAAGGACCTCGGGTAGCTTGGCTGGGCTAGTCACCTCATTTGACAGATGGGGAAGCTGAGGCCCAGCGCTCGGTCAGTGCCGCAGCGGAGGTGCGAGGAGAGATGCTGGTGACAGGGCGAAGCCGTACAGTGAGGCTGTGCAGACTGGCTGTGTCTGGGCTTGCTTATGCAAATGAGTTGCTGAAATAGGGGGCCTGAGCTGGCTGGCCGTGTCGGGTGCCCGGGGAAGAGTGATGCCAGCTAGCATCTTCCAAGGCACGATTCTAAAGGCTTTATGTAGATTTCTTCCCCCATCTTGTCAACTGCCTAATGAAATAGGGTCTGTTATTGTCCCCCTCTTACTACGTGGGAATTGAGGCACAGAGAAGTTAAACTAGTCCAAGGTCCAACAACTGCTAGGCGGAGGAGCCAGGATTTGAACTTACGTGGTCTACCTCCAGAACCTGCATTATTTTTTCCCCTTGTGTATTTTAGTTTTAAAACTTTTCTATTGAAGTCTAACATACATACAGAGAAGTCTCAATATTGTTGTATTTAACTTATCGATGATCACAAAGTGTAGGGTCTGTACTCTTAAGCACTCCAGCAAGCCATGTTTGGCCTTTGATGTCAGACCCGGTTTGAATCCTGTTTCTCTTGCTGTGTGACCTTGGGTGTGTCACTCAGCTTCTCTGAATCTCATAGTTTCTTGGGTGTACTTGGCAGGCTTGTGATGATTAGAGCATGTGATAGCTCCTGGTATGTTTGGTGTTTGGTAAATTTTCAGTAAATTATTTGACTTATTAATAATTAAGATTATAAATTGTGTTGGCTTTGTTAAGTGGACTATCTTCCGAACCTGTGAGTTGCCTTCCGGTCACTTTACAGGTACTTATGATGATTAGTTTTGGTAAATATATGAAGCTGAAACATTTGGGGGTAGAGGGGAAACCTCCCCTGTGCACTGAAAATCCTTAATTTAAAATGTCCCACCTGTGCCTTTTAAACATCACCACCTTTGGGCGGTGTAAGTTAAATATCTGTTCCTTAGGGTTGGGAAGGAGCCTCTGGGGACCCTCAGCAGTTTAACGCCAGTTTCTGCCTGGTTTGCTGATGGACGGAAACTTACTGAACTACATCGTGTTGAGTTCCAGGTGCCTCAAGGTTGCCGTGCACCCTCCAGAGGAGTATATTGGGCTTCTAGGAAATTCTTTTTTAGGATTGTTTTTATCCTAAAGAATAACTCTTTTAAAAAAACAAACTACTTTTCTAGTTGACTTTCCTATTCTGTGGTTTTTTTTTGGCTGTGCCGTGTAGCATGCGGGGTCTTAGTTCCCTGACCAGGGATCAACCCCACCCCCTCCCCTGGCAGTGGAAGCATGGAGTCTTAACCACTGGACCGCCAGGGAAGTCCCGACTTTCCCTTTCTATGTAATGCACATTAGTCCATTATTTTAGGCGGCTTGTGCAGCAGTGGAAAGAGTAAGCACCTTAGTGTAGGCTCCAGGTCAGCCCCAGCAGGACCCCTTCAGTCTGCGTTCCATCTGCGCCTCGGTCTTGTCTGTGAGATGGTGATGACAGTGTCCTCAGCTCTGGGGGTTGCTGGGGAGGTTACACAGATCATAGATGGTGGGTGCGGACACCGGACACAGTGCCCAACGTGCAGCGGCCACCGGTGAGTAGAGGCAGCTGCTTGTGTTAACTGTTAATGCCGAGGCGCCTGAGATCCAGAACGTCCTATGCCTTTCTCTCCACTGCTTGAATTAAAAAGAGAAAGAGACTCACAGTGGTTGGTGCTTGTGAGCCCTCTACACAAATGTCTGATTCTCATGGGAGGTGTCTCATAGGTCAGTGGGTTCTCCTTTTTGTTTGGTCTAGGCTTGAGGTGAAGGCCTGAGAGAGCCACTCCTGTG